TTTTCTGCCTGTGGTCACACTGACAAGTGAAACAGGGCCGCAGCAGCTGCCTCTGGGATCTGTGGGAGGGAACGTGGCAGGTCCTGGTGCCTCCCAGGCAGGTTCACAGTCAGGCTGAAATCCTGGAGCTCCAGACAAACAAATGAGCTTCTCAAAGTCCTGCTGCTGTGCTCCAGGCTGGATGTGAGGATTATTCTTGGAGGGGGAGAAGGAGCTTCCAAAGCCACTGTGGAGAGCAGAGATGAGAGCCTTGGTTTGGATCTGGAGGAGAAATGCTCCCTCACACTTGTGCCCTGTAAAACCACTGAGCTTTGATGAGATTCTGAATGTGCCACGTCACAACCCACCCTCTGCTTTGTGGCTGTTCTGCTCTGCAGGAGAAATAACCAATAAATTACCCTCTGCAGGATACTCCTGTAATCACTCCCCTTATCTCCCAGCTTACCAGAGCTGAGCCTCTTTGTCTCAGACATGAACTAGAGGCATTTTTAAGCTTGTCCTCCCTGTAGGATCAGTAAAGTCTTGGCCAGCAAGCACAGCTCTTTTGGGTAAAATTGTATTTGAACAAGGGATGGGACTTAGTTTTGTCTCTCACAATGCCAAGGGGAAACTTGGTACTGTGAGATCCTTCATGCTCCTTCAGCCCAGCCTCCTGCTCTTGGAAGTCTTTGCTATTGTGTCTGTTAGAGTTTCTCATCATTTGGTAGATCTTTGTCTGAGGAGCTACAGCTCTTATTTGTCACCTGCACAAGCAACGTGGGGTGAGTTTGGTGGTGGAGAAAAACCTGACTGTGTTGAATTAATGCTCAGCTCTTGGTGGGTGTGTGCACAGAGGCACAGTGGAGACTCTCAAACTTGTCTGTAGCTGTGAAAAGGCAAATTTGAACAATACCTTGACATTGTTGCCCAGAGAAGCTGTGGCTGCCCTATCCCTGAAAGTGTCCAAGGCCAGGTTGGACGGGGCTTGGAGCAACCTGGGCTAGTGGAAGGTGTCCCTGCCCATGGCAGGGGGTGGCACGGGATGAGCTTTAAGGTCCTCCCAACCCAAACCATCCTGGAATTCCATGATTCTGTAATGTTTACAGCACTCTGCATTATCCATCCACCTGGTGAAGTGTGGGGTGTCCATAGCACCATCTTTAAGGCTTTCTTTTGTGTGTCATAAAGTGACACTGAAAAGTTTAGGAAACCCTAAATCTCACTGCTAAAATCAGTCACAATCCCTTGGTGCTGGCCAAGCACAGATATTCCATAATAAATGAAATCAGTGGAATCTAATGCATCATAACTGTTTGTTAGGTTCAGGAGGTTTGACAACATTTTCAGTGTGAAAAAGGAACATTTCAGATGATATGTCATAAAGTGTCATGTCTGATACTCTGGTCAGGGACCATAAATGCTGGTTACAGATTATTCCAGCTGTCTCAGTGATCCCCACTGGGATGGGTACAGGGGTATCCTCGAGACCTGCTCTCTGCCCTGTCCTTTAAGAACACAAAAATCCATGTCCCACTTTGGAGCCAAGCACATTCTGCCCGTGAGTCATGTTTAGAGTCCACTGAGGTCAGGAGAGGCCTGTGCTTTGTGCTTGGTTTCAAATCAAGCCTGGAGCCAGCTGTGCTTTCCAGGATGTTCTGTTCACAAGACATGCAGCAGCAGGAAAGGCTTTTCAGCATCAGGGCATCCATGATTTTGGAGAGAGCATTCATGTGTGTCCACTGACAGAGCAAAACACAAACTAAGCCACATGGGGAATAGGGAACACGAGTGAATATTTCATTTTGCTGCGAGGACAGTTGTGTCACAGGATAAACCCAAGGGGTTTTCCTTGTAAGCAGCTCTCTCTGTCTCTCAGTCAGCACAAAGCTGCTGTGGGAGGGGAACTGTGTTCATTGGCTTTTACAGCTTCACTCTGAAACAAGACAGTTGCAAGTGGTACAGGGGGTTTAAATGTCACTTCTCAGCACAGTGAGTTTGTCTGAACAGGTACATGGGAGCACTGCAGTGGGGACAGACTGTGGGTGTAAAATCAGTGGCTGTGCCCCCGCAGGTCGGTGCTCAGGCAGGTGTGGGTTTTAAATGGAGCTGCTGTAACTCCATGTCCCACACACATGGACCTCCCCGATGATTCACCTGCTATTTTGGGAGAGTTTGTGCACAGACTTGGCTTGACTCAGGTCCAACCTTGTGTAAATCAGCCTGTGTAGGGGGGGTGATGCAACTCAACCTGTGTCTTCACTTGCCCCGTGCCTTTCTCTACCCTGTTGTACAGAACCAGGCCTTGAATGTCTTCAGGGAGCTGCTGCATTTCCACATCAGTGGTTTTGCCACCTGGCTACTGGTTTTTGGGGTGAATGGAGCCTGGCAAAGCACAGCAGAGCCTGTGGGGATGTGTGTAAGCACTGATACACCCAGTGGAGGCAAGGCCTGGAATTCCCTTGAGGAGGTGTTTGTACCCTCAGTAAGCACAGGGGAGAGTCAAGGATGGAAAGTTTTCTCTCTGGGTAGGAAACCCACATTTAATTCATTGAATCCCAGGATGGTTTGGGCTGGAAGGGACCTTAAAGGCCACCCAGTGCCACCCCCTGCCATGGGCAGGGACAACTTCCACTAGCCCAGGTTGCTCCAAGCCCTGTCCAACCTGGCCTTGGACACTTCCAGGGATGGGGCAGTCACAGCTTCTCTGGGCAACCTGTGGCAGGGCCTCCCCACCCTGATAGGGAACAATTCCTTCCCAATATCCCATCTATCCCTGCCCTCTGGCAGTGGGAAGCCATTGCCCCTTGTCCTGTCCCTCCATCCCTTGTCCCCAGTCCCTCTCCAGCTCTCCTGGAGCCCCTTTAGGCCCTGGAAGGGGCTCTCAGGTCTCCCTGGAGCCTTCTCTCCTGGAGGCTGAACAATCCCAGCTCTCTATCCCTAACCCTTTCCTCACAGGAGAGGTGCTCCAGCCCTCTGATCACCTTTGTGGCCCTAATTAAAGCAGAGCTCCGTGTTACCTGGCAAGCATGAAAAATCCCCCCAGAATGGATTAGCTTTCCTTTCCTGGCTGCTTTGTTATTTTTAATTTGACTGTAGTTTCAAGACTCAGTAGCACTTCAAATGTGACATTTGACAGCAAAGAATGATGGTTAAGTTGGGTGGAAGGTGCAATACAGAACTAATGGTTGTGTTTAATCACATTAATGGCAGGAATCTCCACCCTCTTACGGAGGAAAGTCACTCTTACAGATCTTTCCCATTGCCTCTTCCTGGAATGCAGTTTTTAAGTGGAATTAAGATGCTTTGGAATTAAGATTTATCTCTGGGACTGTGTTTCACACCAGCCTGGGAGGGGGAGGGAGCATGGAAATCATTCAAGCTCTTGCTGGAAGCTTTGCAGGAGGGAGAGGGGATGGGTGCAAGGAGGGACTGCCTGGGAGACAAAAAAGTGAGTGTGGAGGGAAAAGAGGCCCAGGAGGAGCTGCAGCAGTGGCTGAGGAAACAGTGGCTGGGGATTCTGGGGGGAGGATTTCTGAGGGAGTAAAGATAGACCCCGATGGAGGTGACACTGAGTGGTTTCATCTGCCAGAGCTTCCCCAGAGCTTTGACACTTCCCATGTCCTTCCCTGCCTTGGCAGCCTCAGCCCAAGGCTCTGGGGTGTCCCTGGTGAGGTGCCATTGCTTCAGCTGCTCTGCACTGCTGGGCTGCAGAGGGAACGGGCACACTTGATTTAGGATATAAATTGTTTGATGGAAAAGTTGCGTTTGCTTCCCAAAAAGCAGTGCCACACAAAGTTTTACTTGCACCACCAACATGAGGGAGTGGTCAGCATTTGCACACATGTTTCTGAATATATTTAGTGGTGTAAAAATATAATAAATTGCACAAATCTAAAAGCTTTATTTGGCCCAGAAATCTGTGTATGGCCATCAGAAGTTTAGTATTCAGGGAGTTGGGCTGGTGAAGGAAGAGGCTGAATGGGTGTGCTCTGGGAACTCCTCCCAGAGAGCAGGGAGGGACTGGCAGGATGAAAAGTGAGTTCATTCAGCGTGTTGTGGTTGTTTATATGGGAGAGAACTTTGCCTCCTGTGTCCCTTTCAGGAGGTTCGTGTCTCTCATCACCCATTTCTCCTTTTCCCTTGCTTACACTCATTAAATATGGCAACTTGGGATTCTCCTCAGTCTTTTTTTCATTTCTGCTTTCATTTGTTTCAGGGTGGTTTTTTTTTGCTCTCAGCTAATTAGGATTTTTTTAGAGACTTTAAGTTTTATGTACACATTTCCTTTATTTATTTGCTTTGCAAACATTTCCTTTATTTGCTTTGCAAACAGTCTTAATTTGCTTATGATCGTCTGTAATTTCTATTTTCAGAGAAGATCATTAACCATGAGCCATTTTCAGTGTGGGATATCAGACTAGTAACAGGACCAGAGTGCTCAAGGCTCAGTAGATGTGCAGGAATGAGACAGTTAAATCTCTTCTCACTGCTCCCAAACAGGCACATCCTGATGTTGCAGTTAATGACTCTGTATGTGATGAATGGGGCTATAAAATTCTCTGTTGGGGTGAATTGCTTGACAACACTGAAATTAGGAGATATGTTTTATTATCTAATGTCTGCCTGAACGTATAAAATAAAAAATGAATAAAATGGGGGGAAGGGGAAGCACTTTTATCTGATACATGAATATTTATAGAGGTATTTTCAGTGAACAATTAATTTTGCAGACTCTTAAGCTGGAGCTTTAATCCCTGGCTTGAGCAGTTTGCCTCCCTGTAATTGTTTTATTTTTGAACCATATTTTTATTTTTAACCTGTCAGGTGAGGTGCCACAACCCAATGGCATTGGAGGGTCTGTGTGAGCTGGGAATGCTCAATGTTTCCCCTCTGGAGCTCCAGCCCTTCCCTGATTCCCTGCTGCTCAGCATGTGGTGGCTGCTGTGCCTGCTGTGTTATCCCAAGCCTGGCCTGGCCCTGCTCACTGACCTGCTCCTTCTCTCCCTCTCTCCCTGGCTCAGCTCTCGCTCCCGGAGGAACAGAACGAAGTGACGAGGAATGGCTGTGACTCCAAGGAACTGGTCTACCTGGTGCAGATCTGCTGTCAGGTAAATGCCATGTTTTCTCCCCCCAACTTGTTTACAGCCTGTGTTTCATTCCACTTGCCAACACAGCCTTGGAATATCAGGATGTGACACTTTCTGTGCTGTGGGGGGGTTTCCAGCTCTTCCCTTGCTCCAAGATGGTGCCTGTGGTAGTGCCACCAGCTCATTGTAGGAAAAGCAAAGCACTGAGGGGAGAAAAAGGACTGTGTGAAGGAAATAATCCTTCCTGGGATGAACCCAGGGACAGGAGTGTGTTTGAGGGCAGTCTGGGGGTGGCCATGGACACCCAGACACTCCAGTGACCCCAGATGGGAGAATCCCGGCAGTGCTTTGTTCACACAGGACATGGGGATTCTTGATCTGCTCCCAGTGATGTCTCCAGACACCTGGTATGGAATTGTTCTGTGGTGTCAGGATGCTCTGGGCAGATAAATCTGCTGCTCCATCCCATGGATTCCCCATCTCCTGATATGTGTGAGTTTGTAAAGTGCTCCATAACAGGTAATTGTGTTTTAATGTGCTCAGTGAATCACTGTTGGTGGGAGATGCAGTGGCAGGTTCATTGCTGAGTTAATGCCTGTGTTTGGTCCTTTTCCTGGATTTAGGGTAGCAGCTCTGTCCATGATTCACCTCCTGAGCATCCCTCCTATCACTGGGTATGGAACATTACCAGGATCACTGGAGTGTCTGTCAGCTTTTCAGAGCTCCTTCAGTGGTTCTGCTGCCTCAGGTGCTCAGAGGAGTTGTGTGGGACAGGCACACCTGTGGTACCTACATTTGAACTGTGTGGGGTTGGGAATCTGCTGGATTGTCCCAGCATTGGGACACACAGATGGGGGGATTTGCAGTGGAAAGGCTCTGCTGCCCTGGCTCTGTGTGAACAGAGTGGCTGTTGTGAGAGCTGAGGAGAATCCTGCATCCTGGGGAGCAGAGGATCCTGCATCCTGGGGAGTAGAACATCCCAAGGAGCAGAGGATCCTGCATCCCAAGGAGCAGAGGACCCTGCTGTGCTATGCAGGTGCAGCCTGGCCCAGCTGAGCCCCAGCAGTGTCAGTGGCACAAATACACACACACACATACACACACACACACACACACACACGTGTGTACAGGTACAGAAATGTGCCCTGGGGAGAGGAGGAGAGGCTGGAAGGGGACATCACTCGGAATTGCCATTTTGGGAGTGTCTCCAGCACTGTTCTGACCGACCTATAGCCACTTTGGCACAAACCCAGCCCTTCTCACACAGCATCCAGGCTGACAGGCAGCACAGCAGCCTCAGGGGTGGGCACAGGGCTGTACCCCAGCCAGGAGCTGGGCAGGGAAAGGGGTTTTGCAGGGACTGGAGGAAATTGGAATGTCAGTATGTTTTGGGCCCTCCCATTTGGGATCACTCTTGGATGCTTTGCAGGATGTCTGTGAGCATGCAGTGCAGAGGTTTCAGTGTGTGGGGACAGTGGGTGAGTTCTTGGGGAAGGCAAACCCTCCTTTGCAGGCCCTGTGCCCCAAGCCCAGCTCCTGAGAAGTTCCCTTCCCTTCCCTTCTCCTCCAGTGTTTGGCTGAACTGGAATGGAAACGCTGGGAATTGGCCTCATCACTTTAAAGACTGGACACAGAACCAGCCACCTTTGTCTTCCTTTCTTTTTCCTGTTTTTCTCCTTTTCCTTGTCTTTTTCCTTTTTTCTTTTATTTTTACTTTCTTTTCTTTTTCCATTTTCCTCTTTCCCTTTCTTTCTTTCCTTTCCCTCTTCCTCTTTTTCTCTTCCTCTTTTTCTCTTTCCTCTTTTCTTCTTCCCTTTTCCTTTCCCTTTCCATTTCCTCTGTCCCCTTTTCCTCTTTCCCCTCTTTCTCTTTCTCCTTTTTCCTTTTCTCCTTTTTTCTCTTTCCCTTTTTCCTCTTTCCCTTTTCTCCTATTGTCTTATTCAGTTTTTCCTTATTTTTCCTGTATTTTCTCTTTTTTTTTTTTCCCCATTTTTCTTCTTTTTTAAAGTATTCCCCTGACCAGTCCTCCCTGCTCTGAGCCTGGGATTCCCCTCTCCCATGTCAGTCCACGTCCCTGTTTCTCAGATCCATAAAGAGCTGAGAAACTTGTGGCATCTGGATCCAATGACTGGGAAGGTATGGAAGGAACTGCACAGCTGAGCATCATTCCTGCCCTGGGAGACACTTTCCCCCTGACATCCCAGGGCCTCTCCCAGTGTCCAGGGAAAGATTCCATTCCGTCAGGCTTTGGAGCCCTGCAGTGTCTGCCTGGATTTGGCTCCACATGAGACCCCAGTGGAGGTGTGAAATAGCTCATGGAATGATGGGGCAGTGGGGAGGGATTTTGGCAGGACACAGCTGAGTCGGGCCAAAAGCCCTGGAGGAAGGGGAAAAGAGCCTGAAAACCAAATTTGACTTTACTCACCCTGAATGTGCTTCCAGAGTTGGTGTCCAGCCACTGCAGCATGTCCTGGGTTGCTCACATGGACACAGGCAGTTCTGGTATTGAGGTTAAATCCACACAAATGTAGAAGCTTTCAGATATCTGTGATTTGGTGCCAATACAGAAGGAGGTGTTTGTCACCCTGGCAGCATAGGTTCCAGAGCTGAGAGGAACAAGCTAAAGCCACAGTTCTGGGGTTGAAGGCACTGCCCTGCTGGGCCCTGCCTGGTGTGGGCTGGGCAGATCCCCCCTATGTGTGTGGGTCACACAGAGCTGTGTCCTCTGGCATTTCACCTGCAGCTCTGCACCCAAAGCCTTCAAACAGATGTTCCAACCAGCCCAGCCTGGGCTGTGCTTGGCAGGGCACAGCCCCTTCCCCTGAGCAGTCCTGCCCCACTCCTCCCCAGCTGCAAGGACAGCTTTAGTACCCGTGAAGAGAATTAGTGTTTGAGGCCTATTCTGCAAAATCTTCCCAGATAAGGTTTGAAAAACATTCTTTAGGAGGTGTATTTGTGACACTTTCTGCTGCAAGTCAGCTCGTGAAATCCAAGCTTTGTGTGAGCTCCAGAGGGGGGTTAAGTCTCTGTTCAGCTTTTCTTCTACTTATAAACCTCAAAAAATTAATCCACTTTATTGGCTCTTAAGAAGAAGTGGGAATATATGCAGAGATGTTCCAAGTGTTTCAAAAAAGGGGAGAGACAGGATCCTTCTTTTGATTCTTTTGGACAAATTTAAACATGAAAACAGAGGTAGGGAATTAAATGGGCCTTTTGGATGTTTTTGGGTTGGTTTGTCTGATATTACAGCAACTACCTGTGTATGTGTTTAAATATTGCAACAGAAGTAGTCTAGGCTTTTTTGTTCTGACAAATGGAAGAAAAATAGAAACCATAAAGTGAGATCTGTGGTGTTTCAACACCTCAGACATCGTTTTTGGTGACATTTGGAATGGCAGGGGGAGAAGCAGGGCCTAGTTGTGAGAATGTTCACGGTCTGAGACAGACCTTAACCCGCAGGCATCTCCTGTGGTTTTTGTTTCCCATTTCCATGCTCACAGGGACATTGCTGAGACAGAACTGACAGGCCCTGGCAGCCAGAGATGTCAGACTGTGCAAGATGGGTAACAAAATCCTGGTGCTAGACCTGCTGATGGACCCTTAAACTCAGCCTGACTCTGAACTCAGAGCCCAGCCCACCTTCCCTGCCCCTGCTTTCCATGGAATACTGCCAGTGTCCTGCAAAGGAAGCCTGTTTCAGCTCCAGGTGGATTTCTAAGGCTGTTCCCAAAGCAGGAACTCGTGGGCCAAGCAGGGATTCTCCGCTTTGTGCTGCCATTCCCATCCCCTCTGGCAGGGAGCTGGGCCAGGCCTGGCTGTGGCACAGGATGCCCAGTGCTCTGCCCTGTTCCTGGTTTTTGTCCCTGCTGTCTGGGCTGTGCTGGCTTTGCTGGATGGAATCAGGGCTCTGATGCACCGGACAAAGACATTTCCCAACCCTCTGCCTGGCAGGAGATTCCCACCGGATTTCTCCTGTTGGGAGAGCAGGATTTGCACAGCTCCAAAGGCATCCCTGTCCAGCATTCCCTGGCTGCAGCAGTGAGTGTTCCAAGTGGAGGCCATGCTGGAAAAACAGGCTCCCAGGAGGAAGAGCAGCCAGGAATCCCCATCCCTGGTGCTTTGGGGGAGAGCAGGGTGGAGGGGATTGTCACAGAGGCCAATCAACTACTCAGAGGAGCGACATCCCAAGTGTGGTTTGCTGGGTCTGGCTGCCTGTGATAGTCCAGGCTGAAACCACAAACTGCTTGCACCAGGATTTTTGAGTCAAATACTCAAAAATATGGTTGGTTTTTTTGTCTTTAATTGCTCTTTAATTTATTAATAGTTTCTGATTGAAGCTCAAACACCCGGAGAGCAGTAAGTGCTACAAACATTCCTCCTGTGAAAAGCTCTTCAATCAGTTGATTCTGAGGGACAGATTCTAACACACATATATTCCTGTGTGTGTTTAATATAAATATAAAAATATATATAGAGAAAAGCCAGTCACATCTTTGTTAATGGGATATGTCTGTGTGGAGCGTCCAGGCTGGATCCTACCCAGTGCAAAATCTGTTTTCAGAATGTGTGTTGACCTCCTTCTCCATTTTTGATAGAGGATTTTCTGCCTTTATTTAAAGATTATGCTGAACAAAAGCAGTTGCTGTGTCCTTTTATTGAGCAGTAAATTCAGGTAAAGGTTCACATGGTGCAGCCACCATCCCACCCCCTTCTTCAAGGCCACGTTGGATGGTGTTGGAGCAGCCTGGTCTGGTGGAAGGTGTCCCTGCCCATGGCAGGGGAGGGAATGAGATGAGCTTTAAGGTCCCTTCCAACCTAAACCATCCTGGGATTCTGGGATTCTTCCCCCTGAAGTCTCTTGTCCCTGTAGCTGCTGGATGAGTCCTGGGAGTGCTCAGCAGGGCTCAGGAGAGTTGCTCTGCTTTAAAATGCATTCAAATGCTGGTCACCATCATGGCCTTTCCCCCGAGCTTGTTCTCTGTTCTTCTTTTCTGACACTTGGCACCACTTGCCTGCAGGTGAGAGACATGGAACTCCCCCCCACGATTTGCCATGAGTTCAGTGCCTCACGTGCTTGGGGGTGTTTGGGAAGAGAATCATGGAAAGTT